TTTAGGAAAGCTATCGTTTGACATTCTGAATACAGAGGGACATCATTCAAGGTTTTCTGGGACTGAAATTTTCTGGGGAACAAGATAGACTACTTCACAGTTCAAAAAATCTACTCCTTCATAAAAAAAAAAAAATGTTTGAAACAAAAATTTTACATTTTCTTTTTAAATTTTGGGATGTTCTTATTTTTGTTATAATTGAATATTTTGTGATTTATTTTTTATCTAGGTTGCACTGTGGGTATTGTTCTTCACATTAAAGCAAAAAGTTTGCCACCAGCTAATTTTATTTTTCTACGATAGACTTCCTAATGAAGTGTCTTTTTTCTGAAGTGCGGGAGACGTAGCATACTGTAAAGTTGACCAATAATGCTAAAACTTTGCAGACTATCCTTCCTCATAGTGCTGAAATAACCCTCAAAATTTGAACCAAATTGGGTGAAGGGTTCAAAAGTTGACCCTCCCAGGCCATATCCCCCCTTAAACGCGAGGAAAAACTAATGGTTTTATTGTTCAGAAATGTACCGTATTTGGACGAATATGAACAACACGCAATAAAAGTTGTGTTGATTTATGTTCTCCATATACCAGTGCCTCCGAAGCACTGGTATATGGGGGTAGCTAGTCTACAAAATTAAACGAGCATTTGAAATATTTTTTTGCGCATTTAGGGCGTTTGCTTTTTTCTGAGACCGCTTCCACGCACCTCATTTGTCTAGCAAGCGTAGCAATAAAAGCGATAATTCAATTGTCTCGTATGTAAACTGGGGGGGGTGGGGGGGGTATCTATAATCAACTAACAAAGTTAGATGAAACATGGGCTGGTTATCCTGCTTGGCAGCGTCAATGGATGTGGAGCACACTTCGAGGAGGTGGAATCGCTGGAAACGTCTTAAATTATGTGGGATTAGATATATTGGGTTTGAGTGCAAGACTCAGCGACTTCGTCTAGGTCATCAAATGTTCATGGAGCCGCTTTGTCTCGCAATGTTTTGGACACTAAAACGGCGCCATTTACCTTCAGATATTTGTGAATATTTGTTTTCTCAAGCTTCGTGGGATTGAGTGTTTTTTTCCTAGGCATAAATGGTGCTTTCATTTCATCAGTTGTGACGTGGATGCAACATAAATGTTTTTTGGTCTCGAAGCAAAACGTTAGTTGCAGCAGTGGAACCGCTACAACTTTGCATTGCCGCCAGTGCGAAGGTGATGGTGGCCGTGTTGTGGAATTTTGCGGGCATCATCATTACCCACTGTATTCCGAAGGAAACGCACACTCTCTCGCACCCGGCAGTTTCTAACTTTCGTTCAGTCATGGTCCGTTTTGCTTTAAGGTGGGACGCGGGTCTTAAAATGTAAAAAAATCGCGAAAAATTCCTTTTTTCAAAACTCACGATTTTGAGGTCTACATAGTCCAGAGTATGTCCTCACAAAATATAAATGCTCAATTCGATCTCTAAATATGAAACTAATGACAATTTGTAAGCGTTGACAGACCTGACTTCAAGCCTAAACTCTAAAACTTCAAGCCGTCGGAGCTCCGCAACGGCTCATCCGATTGGAGCCATCTTGGTCTTGTTCGAAAGCTGGTTTCCCGCGCTTATTTTTCCCGCGCTCCAAGGCGGTGTACCCCTCAAGGCCACGACGTCATCGATGCCGCAAAAAAGGCCGTCACCAGTGCTAGGAAAGACGCTGATTGGGCAAAGCGCGCACTTCTCCGAGGCGCAGCTCTCTCATTGGCCGAAACGCGCGCCTCCTCTCCTGGCTCCCCCGGCGCGTCGTCCCGGTCGCTCCGCAAGCCCCCGCGTCGTCTGCTTTCGCTCGCTCCGCCGTTCGAGGCGCACGCTGTCCTTCGCATTTCTCCACTTTCTATATCAATATTTTCAGTGTTTTTCTTGTGCTTCCTAGTGTTCTTGTATGTTCCCTGTCTTCTTCGCATCGTTCATGTAAATATTTTGATACCTCCACTTTGTTTAGCTTTCCCTTTTTGGTATATTTTTGCCCTCCTGCGTGGTAGTTCTTTGTTTCGTTCTGCCTGCGTGCTTTGAGTTCGCTTCGAGTTCTGATGGCTGGGGACGCCCGTTTGAAGGCCAGCGCACAAAGACTAAACACAAAGAGGAAACGTGCCTGGAACAAGAAGACCTCAGCATTGAGGAAAACGACACCTTCGACTTCGCCGATGCCGCAAGCCATGCCGCAAGCCGCTCTACCGTTGGTGGACGCGACTGGACCAAGTTTGTGTTCGACAGCTTCGCCAATGCCTCAAGCCGCTTTTCCGCTCGTGGACGTGGCTGGACCAAGTTCGTCTAGGGATCGAATCGACACTGTGTTCTACACGGAGGAGGAGTGCGTGGAGCGCGAACAACGTGCGGACGACAGAAAGGCTTCGTTGGCAGATCAGTCGGCGACTTCACGGAAGTTTGAGCTCCTCGACGTCTGCGTGGAGAGTGACGACAGCAACCGCGGCACGGAGTACGTCATCGTGGACATGACAGTGCTACAAGAACTTTTTGCGTCCACGGCATGCGGAATGGCTACCGTAGGACTTTCGAAGTGCGAAGAGAGGAAATACGGCCTGGCAGTGAAGTTGGTCCTCACGTGTTCGAGCTGCGATTTCGCTGAGAGTTGATTTTCTTCTCCACGAGTCGTCGGGGAAGCCAAGATTACGCCCTTCGAGATCAACTTGAGGGCGATGAAGGGAATACAGAGCATAGGAAAGGGGGGCGACTGCGCTTGCAGACTTCTGTGCAACCTTGAACCTCTCTCACCGAGGGCTTCATCATAAGACGTTCAGGGGACACATGGACACCATGGTGCAGGCTTGCCAGGCAGCAGCAACAGCCACAGAAGCAGCGAGTGTTGAGGTGGTGAAGGACGTCTACGAGAGCTTCCTCAATCCTCCCGGAAACGTAGATATAATTTTTGACGGCACATGGAAGACGCGCGGACACAACTCCAACATCGCAGTGGGGTGCATCCTCGAGCTGTACACTGGCCTGGTGCTGGACCACGTTGTCCTCTCAAGGTACTGCCGTGGCTGCGAGGGTGCACCTGACCCAGATGATGACAGCTATGGGGACTGGGTGATTAACCACATGTGCATGAAGAACATTGACTGCAACGCAGGACGTATGGAAACTGAGGCAGCCCTCATTCTGTTCAGGCGGTCCCTGGCAAAGAATGGACTGCGCTACACCACCATCCTTTCTGATGGTGACAGCCGCACCTTCCATGCCCTGACACAAGACAGCGTCTATGTATACCTCGACATTGAGAAAAAAAGACTGCCTGAACCATGTACACAAGTGGATGGGAGCAGCTCTTCGTACCCTGGTGGAGAAGAAGAAGGCACAGGGAGAGTCGCTCGGAGGAAAGGGAAAGCTGACCCAGGACAAGATAAAAAAAAAATAACAAACTACTATGGGTACGCCTTGAGAAGCCACAAGCATGATGTGCCAGGGATGGAAAGGGCAGTGCAAGCAACTTTGTTGCACATGACGTCGACAGATGAAGCCCCGGACCACAGTCACTGTCCCGAGGGGGACAGTTCCTGGTGCTCCTACAACCGGGCACTGGCCAACCACGAGGAGCCACCACAACACAAGAACCCACTGCCAGGCTTCATTCGCACTGCGCTGGAGCCAGTCTTTGAGAGGCTGGGCGACCGGGCACTCCTGAAGCGCTGCAGTGATGGCATGACGCAGAACGCCATAGAGTGCCTACACTCTGTGATCTGGGGCCAGAACTCTAAGAACACACATGACTCTCTGCTGTCAGTGGAGAGGGCTGTCGCTGAAGCCGTGTCACGCTTCAACCAGGGAATGGCCAAGATGAGCAAGGCTGTAGCAGCACAGCTTGGCTAGAGCACAGGTAGCTGCCTGATTCGCAGGAGTCTCGAGAAGGACAGGCGGAGGCTTCGCAAGGCCAGCAAGGCTCACTCTGAGAGTGAAAAGGTGAAGAGGATGGCCAAGAGACACAAGCCTGCCAGGACCCAGGACTACAGCCCAGGTCTGCTATGACCATGTGTGCACATCGGATACTACTGAACTGATTTCGTGGTTTCATGTTGTTTTTTTTGTCAGGTACCATTTTTCTACGGAGGTTTTGATTATGTTTCCGTAAGCCGATTGCAATAAATTTGGTGTTGTTTTCAGCAACAACTGAACTGCACCCTAAAGCTTTTCTTTTTTCTCTAGACTTGATATATAAAAGTGCCAACATCGGAGAAACTTGAGTGTGATTTTCTCAGCTTTGTCTTTTTTTGTCTAGAGCCGTTGCCTTACGGAAGTTTTCATAATGTTTGCATGGGCGGATTTCAGTAAGCTTGGTATCATTGTTTGCAGTAACAACTGAGGTGTATCCTAAAGCTTTTCTTTTTCGTCTAGAATCAATAGATCAAAAGTAATTAGCTAAAACGTGGATTATCTAGTGACAAGTTTTTGCTTTGAAATTCCACGATTTATTTTTGGTAGACAAAATGGCTTTATAAGCATTCAATTATCTTTAGGATATATGGTGAACACTTGGAAATCACTGCATATTGTTAAAATATAAATTTTTTGATGTGAAATTACCATAACGACCCGTAAGAAATTACCTTATTGGAATTTTATATTTTGCATATCTTTTGTTCTAAAAGAGATATCTGAAATTCAACTGCAGATTTGAAATCAACATCCAGTGATACATATGGATGCCAACTTTCAGCAAGGTATCTCGATAAATAAAAAAAAAAACATATTTAAGTACCCTAGTCCCACCTTAAGTCGGTCCTCAGCCGACGCCATGGTCCTTATCTTTTTGCTTTTGCTATTACCATCTAAACCAATTGCATAGTGAGTATGTGTGCCTCGTTGCAGCGTTCAGTGTAGGGACGGCCCCACATGCCATTTTTTCTCAGCCTTTTGTGCACACCATCTTTATTTGAGTTGCATCACGATTTGACTTTGCACCTCCCATTTTGATTTTATCAACTTCAAAACCTTTTTGTCTTGCTGCAGGTTGACGAGATGTTCCGGGAGGCGCCGATTGACAAGAACGGCATGTTCAACTACCTGGAGTTCACGCGCATCCTCAAGCATGGGGCTAAAGAGAACGACGACCAGTGAAACAAAATCGGTTTGGGACCAGAGCTTGAAACAGATTTTTGTACTTCCTTTTGTTATGAAATAAACGTACCGTGCCACTCGAGGGATGCGTTCATCCCAAAAAGAAATCACGGCATTCTTTTGAATCTGGTCATCATGTGATCGGCCAATTGGATTACTTCCACAATCACAAGCCCTGACAGCCACGAATATCCAAAGCATGTCTACGAATGGTCCAAATACTAAAGATCATTTTGCAATATTTGTAAGGTATCCCCGAATGTTCAGCAATTACTTTTTAGAGAATTTCAATTTGGAATACCTCCACCTGATCTCTTTTGTCAAGATGCTTTTCTTGTATTTAGTCGAGTAAATGTGTAGATGTTGCATAATTTTCTGCCTGTGTATTTTTCTTTGTTTTTGAGAGCCGTGTGCCTCGCACTATTTGTTAGAATTTCAGAAGGTTTCCATGCCTACTCGGAAGATTGAAATTGCTCCTCATATTCATTTTTTTTGTTTTTTTTTATACAAAACTATTATTTCTGTATACAAATAAATAAATAAATAAATATATATATATATATATATATATATTGCCAAGTTATCATGAACGCAACAGAGTGGTGTGTGGTAGAGTCAGTTCGGTCAGGTCACCGTGTTGCAAGAACCACTGTGGGCTGAAAGCTGAAACAGCCAAGGCAAGTATGCGGGGGAAAGAAGATAGTGGGTGCAAGAATAGCGGGAAAGGCGAAAAGCAAGAGGAAAATTCTGGAGCAACCAGCTGAGGGAAACTACAGGTTTTCCCGCTCATTTTAATCCAAGCGACGACCAATTTAATCCCGGGGTCACTCAATTTAATCTAAGCGCCACTCAATTTAATCCCGGGGTCAGTTAATTTAATCCACAATATATTTATGCACTTATTGTGTTCAGTGGTGGTGTTTTGCTTACACATTTGGTAACTTACAATTGTTTATACAATTTGAAATTTTGGGGGAGCAATTGATAATTTGTTCACTAATGTGATTACTTTGAGTTACTAGTGCCACTATTGACGAGGCTTAATTGATATCTTGGTTACTCTTTTTACAGCGCAGCTCTTAGGCACCCATTTCCGGCTTAAGCAGCGTCGGCGTAACCACGCGGTGCATGATGGGCAAATTCCCCCGCTAAATCTAGCGGAAAATTTCCCCGCTAAATCTAGCAGAAAATTTTCTCTGCTAAATCTAGCGGAACATTTTTACTGCTAAATCTAGCGGAACATTTTCCCCGCTAAATTTAGCGGAAAATTTTCTTCGCTAAATTTAGCGGAAAATTCCCCCGCTAAATTTAGTGGAAAATCTTCCCAGCTAGATTTAGCGGAAAATTTGTCCCGCTAAGTCTAGCGGAAAATTTTCCCCCTAAATATAGCGGAAAATGTTCACCGCTATATTCAGCGGAAAATTTTCCCCGCTAAATCTATCGGAAAATTTTCCCAGCTAGATTTATCGGAAAATTTGCCCCGCAAAGTCTAGCGGAAAAGCTTCCCCGCTAAATCTAGCGGAATGTTTTCCCTGCTAAATCTAGCAGAACATTTGTCCCGCTAAATTTAGCGGAAAATTTTCTCCGCTACATCTAGCGGAAAATCCTCCCAGCTAGATTTAGCGGAAAATTTACCCCGCTAAGCTTAGTGGAAATTTTCCCCCGCTATATCTAGCGTAAAACTTTCCCCGCTAAATTTAGCGGAAAAAGTTCACGCTAGATTTAGCGGAGAAAATTTGTAGTGCCAAGCGCGACACTTATTGTGGAGGCTCACGCAACGTCTGGAGCTAATAGGGTACTTTCGTAGATCGTTTCTGCTGTCCCACAACGCTCTCCCCAACCAGCTACGCTAGCCGGAACTGTACAGTCAAGGCCATCGGCGCGCCGGCGCAGTAGCGGCTTCTCCGTTCTGGAGGGCTTAGCGGAGGGGGAAACGCGGCCTACGAAAACTCCCTATTGACGTTTTAAGCGTGCGGCACGAGCAGCACCGATGGGACCGAGCTCCGGGCTCGAACGGAACAGCACGAGACTGGCAGCGTTCGACGGTGCAGCAGGGCGGTCTCAGAGGAGCCCCCTTTTGATGATCTTTTTCAGTTTTACTGCGGTTGTAAAGATTAGTTTGTTAATTTGCATCGACGGACGTCTTTCCTGAACCCCACAATTTTTCCACTAAATTTAGCGGGGAAAATATTCCTCTAGATTTAGTGGGGAAAATTTTAAGCTATATTTAGTGGGAAAAATTTTCCGCTAAATTTAGCGGGGAAAATTTTCCGCTAGATTTAGCGGGAAAACTTTTCCGCTAAATTTAGCGGGGAAACTTTTCCGGTAGATTTAGCGTGAAAAATTTTCCACTAGATTTAGCCGGGAAATTTTTTCGCTAAATTTAGCGAGGAAAATTTTCCGCTAAATTTAACAGGGAAAATTTTCCGCTAGATTTAGCGGGACAAAAATTTCCGCTAAATTTAGCGGGGAAAATTTTCTGCTATATTTAGCGGGGAAAATGTTCCACTAGACTTGGCAGAAAAACATTTCGCTAGATTTAACAGGGAAAATATTCCGCTAAATAGAAGGGGAATTTAGCGGGAAAATTTTCCGCTAAATTTAGCGGAGAAAATTTTCCACTAGATTAAGCGGGAAAACTTTTCCGCTAGACTTTGCGGGGCAAATTTTCTCCTAAATCTAGCTGGGAAATTTTTCCGCTAGATTTAGCGGGGAATATTTTCCGCTAGATTTAGCGGGGAAACTTTTCCGCTAGACTTTGCGGGGCATTTTCGCTAAATCTAGCTGGGAAAATTTTCCGCTAGATTTAGCGAGGAAAATTTTCCGCTAGATTTAGCGGGGAAAACTTTCCGCTAGATAGACCGGGAAAAAGTTTTCTGCTAAATGTAGTGGAAAAATTTTACACTAGATTTAGCGGGGAAAATTTTCCGCTAGACTTAGCGGGGAAAATTGTCCGTTAAATCTAGCTGGGAAATTCTTCCGCTAGATTTAGCGGGAAAATTTTCTGCTAGGCGTAGCGGGAAAAATTTTCCACTAGATTTAGCGGGAAACTTTTCCGCTAGACTTTGCGGGGCAAATTTTTCGCTAAATCTAGCTGGGAAAATTTTCCGCTAGATTTAGCGGGGAAAACTTTACGCTAGATTTAGCGAGAAAAAATTTTGCGCTAAATTTAGTGGGGAAAATTTTACACTAGATTTAGCGGGGAAAATTTTCCGCAAGACTTAGCGGGGAATCTTTTCCGCTAAATCTAGCTGGTAACTTGTTCTGCTAGATTCAGCGGGGAAAATTTTCCGCAGGATTTAGCGGGAAAAATTTTCCACTAGATATAGCGGGGAAACTTCCGCTAGGCTTTGCGGGGCAAATTTTTCGCTAAATTTAGCTGGGAAAATATTCCGCTAGATTTAGCGGGGAAACCTTTCCGCTAGGTTTAGCGGTAAAAAAATTCCGCTAAATATAGCAGGAAACTTTTACACTAAAATGAGCGGGGAAAATTTCCCGCTAGACTCTGCGGGGCAAATTTTTCGCTAAATCTAGCTGGGAAAATTTTTCGCTAGATTTAGCAGGGAAAGTTTTCCGCTAAATTTAGCTGGGAAATTTTTCCGCTAAATTTAGTGGGGGAATTCACCCATCATTCACCGGTGTGGTTACGCCGACGGTGACGACGACGCCGACGCCGCTTAAGCCGGAAACGGGTGCCTAAGAGCTGCGCTCTAAAAAGAGTAACCAACATATCAATTAAGCCTCGTCAATAGTGGGACTAGTAACTCAAAGTAATCACATTAGTGATCAAATTCTCAATTGCCCCCCAAAATTTCACATTGTATAAACCAGTGTGTCGAGCCGAAAAAAAAATACGAGTTCGGTTACGGTTCAGGTTCAGGTAAATTTATTTTGTTCCGGTTCAGTTCCGGTTCGATTAATTCGATCCGCGAACCGGTTCGCGAACCGGTTCGGAAATTATAAATAACAAATTGTAACATCAAAATAAATTACAGATAAAACATCTGAAATCAGCACATACGAAACGGGATACATCGTAGTGTAAGGCTCAGGGATTTCTACCAGGAATGGTTTCTTTATGTGCACTCAAAGGTTACCTCACCGACGTTTACGCATTCGGCATCTAATTGGGTCCGACGCAGTAGCTGTAAAATCCGCGACCTCCTTACAAACCCACTTACAAGTAGAACTCGCGAACTATCCCGCCACCTCGGCGTGTAAGCAATTGAAGGAACAGTGGGGAGAAAATACAGCTTTTTTTTATTTGAACTAGCCTTCGGTAACTCAAATTAGACCCTTAAAGAAGCTTTCATTAAACAACCTACGGAATATGAAAAACACTTCATCGAACGCAACGCCAGAAGGACGTAATAGGATAAATATTAATATAGAAGGGTTCGCTGTCTCAGAAATATGTTATCTTCTAAGTGCCTATACGAAACCGGATGCATTATTATCAAACTCCACAGCCTTTTCTTTTCTCATTCCGATGGAAGGAAGCTTCAAGAACTCGCGCGTTCTAGAAACGTGTTATGAAATGAGCACACAGCAGCATTTAGGATTTACGAGATTGTAAAAAAATGAAATCCCAGGACGCGATTTTTTTTTTTTTTTTTTTTGCACAGCCTTTCATTTTTTTTTCTTCCGTGCAAGCCGCGACCAGCGCAATACTGGTTCCTATGTCAAGATTCATGAATGCAGCGTTTGTCAAGATTCATGGATGCAGCGTTTATATTCCTAAGACTGAGTGGAGAAGAAAAATATGTAAGCGAGGTGTGTGTCAGTTGACGGCACTTAAAAAACAAATGGCATTGATAGCACATTCATTGTCAACAGCGCGTGGCCGAACCGTCTTGACATGAGCCGGTAACCGTTATTTTTTTTCCGGTTCAGTTCCGGTACGGGTTCATCGCGATAACAATATAACGGTTCGGGTTCGGGTTCAGTTCCGGAAAAAAATACCGGTTCGGTTCGGTTCCGGTTCGACACCCTGGTATAAACAATTGTTCTAAGTTACCAAATGTGTAAGCGAAACACGACCACTGAACACAATAATTGCATATATATATATATTGTGGATTAAATTGACTGACCCCGGAATTAAATTGTGCAGCGCTTGGATTAA